CCCCCCGCCCCCCCCCAGCTGTCCAAAAAGTCTTGAAAGTGAAGTCCCTGGTTTGTGGTTAATCTCCCCTGTTGTTTTTATGGGGCTCCCCGCCTCTCCTCCCCTGGGCACCCCTTACGGATCAAAGGTTAATTAATGCAGAGCAGACCGTGACTGCAGTTATTCTGACCCCACAGGGCCAGGTGGTCCCAGGGCCCCGATATACAAGATGCGATGAAAGGGTGACACAGCCCTGGAATCTGCACGATTATGAGGCATGGCGGTGGGAGGGCAAAGTGGGGAGAAAGAGAGCAAAACCCTTGGGGGAGCTGACCCCTCTGGGTCAGCTAGGGGGGCAATGGGGGGGATGAGGGAATAAGGAGAGCCAGGCTCATGGCCCAAACTTCTCATAGAAGTTGGGCTTAACAAGTCGCAAGAACACGCTTCTCGGTAACGCGTTGCTTTTTTTTGTAATGAGAGCGTAACCGAAATACATCTCTCTCTCTCCCCCCTTCCAAAGTTGTTAGGGTACCAGCGTAGTGAATAACTGGCTCTTGATGTTTTTCTAGCCAATTTGACAAGACTTTAATTTATATTCTTTTTGCCAGTCCTTCATGGCTCAAGCCCGATGTAGAACTTGGATGTAACAAGTCACAAGAACCCAGCTCTCTGTAACAAGTTGCTTTTTTTCGTAATGAGATTCTAACCAAACTACATCTCCCCCCCTTCCAAAGTGATTATGGTACCGACGTAATATATAACTGGTTCTTGTTGTTTTTCTAGCCAACTTGACAGTACTTTAATATATTGTCAATCCCTTGTGGCCCAAGCCAGAAATAGAACTTGGACATAACAAGTCACAAAAACACCGTTCTCTGTAACTAGTTGCTTCTTTCGTAATGAGATTGTAACTGAATTACATCTCCCCCATTCTCCAAAGTAATTACAGTACTCCCATAATTAATAACTAGTTCTTGCTGTTTTTCTAGACAATTTTATAGGATTTTAATTTTTATTCTTTTTACCAGTCCCCCACAGTTCAAGCCAGACACAGAACTCAGACGTAACAAGTCACAAGAACACAGTTCTCTGTAAATAGTTGCTTTTTTCATAATGAAATTGTAACCGAATTACACATCTCCCCCCACCCTCCAAAATGGCTACGGTACCACTGTAATATATAACTGGTTCTTGCTGTTTTTCTACACAATGGGGGGATGCAGACGAGGGCGTCGGAGA